TGAGTGCTTCTAGTGCTGAATCAATTTGTTGAAACATTTCAATTGGTATTCAGTTGGTTTCAGTGAATTGTTATTCACTAATGTTGGCCCAGGATCGGGCAGTGTTTCGTTCTGCTGTGCATAAGGTCGCTATGAGTCGGTACCGACTCGATGGCACCTAACAACAACAATGCCTTCAAATGCAGCTTGGACTTCCTTCAGTACCATCAGTTCTTGATCATGTGTTACCTCCTGAAGTGATTGAACAATGACCAATTCTTTTTGGTAAAGTGACTCTGCGTATTCCATCTATTTTGATGCTTCTTGTGTCATTGGCTTGCTTGTAGAATCCTTCAATATTGCAAGTCAAGGCTTACATATTTTTCTTTTGTTCTTTTCATCTTGAGAAATGTTGAGGTGTGTTCTTCCCTTTTGGTTTTCTAACTCTAGGTCTTTACACACTTTATAATACTTTACTTTGTCTTCTCAAGCTGTTCTTTAAATTTTTCTATTCAGCTCTTTTATTCATCATTTCTTCCATTAGTTTTAGCTACTCTTAAGTTCAAGAACAAGTTTTAGAGTATCTTGTGACACTCACTTTGGTCTTTCCTGTCTTTTCAGTGACCTTGTGCTTTTTTCATACATGTCATCCCCACAACATCTTTGGTTCAGTGCATCAAATCTGTTCTTGAGATGGTCTGTAAATTCAGGTGGGATACTCACGGTCGCATATGAGCAATTGATGGTCTGTTCCACACTTGGCCCTTGGCCTTGTTTGGGGGAATGATATTGAGCTTCTCTGTCATCTTTTCTCACATGAAAAGATGTGGTCAACTTGATTCCTGTATATTCCATCTGTCAAAATGGTACCTCCTAAAACTCACACAAAAGGATTGCACAAAAAGAGTAAAAAGAGAACCCACAGATTGGGAAAAAAATTTTTTGCATTGACATATCAGACAAGGGACTACTCTCTAGAATTTATAGAACACATCAACGCCTCAATAAGAAGACAAATAATCCCATTAAAAAATGGTTAGAGGACACTTCACCAAAGAAGACATTCAGTCAGCCAACAAATATGAAGAAATGCTTGTGATCATTATCCATTGTTGTTGTTAAGTGCCTTCAAGTCAGTTCAGGTCAACCCTGCATAGGGTTTCCAAGGAGCAGCTGGTGAGCTTGAACTGTCGACCTTGTGGTTCAAACCAACCTTACAATCCAGCCCATTGACCTGCAGCAGCACACCAGGACTCCATGAGATATCATTTTACTCCGGCATTAATAACAAAGTTCCAAAAAATAGAAAAAGAAAGTGTGGAGAGCCTGGGACCCTCCTACACTACTAGTGGGACTGTAAAACGGTACAACCACTGTAGAAAACGGTATGGCGCTTTCTCGAAAAGTTGGGAATAGAAGTACCGTATGACCTAGCAATTCCTTTACTTGGTGTATATCCTCAAGAAATCAGAGCTGTGACATGACTAGATATATGCACACCCATGTTCATTGCAGCACTGTTCACAACAGTGAAAAGATGGAGACCGCTTAAATGCCCATCAGCAGAAGAATGGTTAAACAAACTTTGGTACATACACACAGTGGAGTTCTATGCAATATTGAAGAATAATCTGCAAAACACCTCATACCACGGATGAACCTTATGGTTCGTTATGCGAGTGAAATTAGTCCATCGCAAAATGACAAATATTGTATGAGACCACTGTTGTTAAAAAGAAAAAGTTTTATTGACAGTAACTGGGGGGCACAAATTATTCACAGACGAGAGGGTAGACTCATGTTAACATGGGTGATGGGGCTGGCAATAAACAAGAGGAAGTTGGCAGAGCAAAGAAGGTAATGGGAGACGGAGAAATGCAAGAGTTAACTAGAGTTAAAATACTGTTAACCGATGGTACATGGAGAGGATTGCAATTATTATAATGAAGCAAAGTATAGGATGTGTTGAATGTAAAACTGACGATCTCGATCTCTGTAAACCTTCATGAAATTACAATAAAAAGTTTTTAAAATAAAATACCCGTGTATGTAGTCACCATTTATGCTGTTGAAAAAAGATCTATTGGTCTTGCAAAATTCTCTCATGTAATTTCTAGTATAGTTTCTGTCACCTAGGCCTTATTTTTCAACTACCGATCCTTCCGATTTGTTTCCAGCTGTCATATTCCAATCATCAGTAATTATCAGTGTGTCTTAATTGTATGTTTGATCAATTTCAGACAGGTTGGTAGAATTTTTCAATTTCTTCATCATTGGCTTTGGTGGTTGGTGCATTAATTTGAATAATAGTTGTATGAACTGGTCTTCCTTGTAGGTGTATGGATATTGTCCTATCACAGATAGCATTGTAGTTATAGATCTTGAAATGTTCTTTTTGATGATGAATGCTGAACACCATTCCTAACATAATAACCATGTGATTGTCTGATTCAAAATGCCTTTTGTTGTTTGTGCAGTGGAGTTGTATCCAACTCATAGTGACCCTGTATAGGGTTTCCAAGGAGCAGCTTTTGAGTTTGAATTGACGGCCTTGAGGTTAAAACAGCGTTGCGGTACAGTGCTTATCCTACAGTGCCACACTAGGACTCCACTGATGCCTAGGATATCAATTTCATGAGCTCCATTTTGCCTTTGATGACTTCCAATTTTCCTAGATTCACATGCTTCATACATTCCACCTTCCAGTTATTAGTGGATGTTTGTAACTGTTTCTTCTATTTGAGGTGTACCACATTAGCAAATGAAGGCCCCGAAAGTTTTGCTTAATCCTGTCATTAAGGTCAAATTTACTTGAAGAGGCAGCTCTTATTTCTGAGTCTTATTTTGAGTTCCTTCCAAGCTGAGGGGTTCATCTTCTAGCACCAAGTCAGTGTTTTGCTGCTATTTAGAAGGGGTTCGGGGCTAATCCCTCTGAAGCGGACTGCAGATTCGCTCTGGAAGCTCTGCTGTAACTGCCCACCATTGATGACTAACCCTACTGGTATTTGGAAATATCAGTGGTACAGCAATAAGGAAGCCTCCACTGTACAAGCTGACAGATGTGAAGGGGGAGGGGGGAGGATTAATAGCAGCTAACATTTATTGAACAAGCATTATATATGGTAATTTATATGACTTATTTTGTCAAACTTCAGAGCACCTCTCTGAGGTACTGTTTTTCATGCCTGCTTTATAGAGGAGAACACAAAAGTTAACAAGAGTCATGGTCAAGGCAAGCTAAAATGCAGATGCTGGCAATTTCCTGCCAGAACTCATATTTTTCACTTTTGCTGTATTTTTAGGTGCCTTGACCCTATCCAAGCACCGCCTGATCCTGCGCCATCCTCACAGTTGTTACATTTATTAATTACAGAGCTTTTAGTCCAAGCTCCTCAGAAGATTGCACAGCCAACCAAAGGCACAATTCTGGTCTCCTTGGGACCTGTTCATTGTTGCCTAGACTCCAGTGTGGTGGAGGCATCTTAGCCTTTGCCATCCCTGTCCGCCAAACCTGACCCAGGCCTGACGGATGTGCAGATGACTCAAAGGGCTGGGGCTGCACCTTCCACCTGGCCCCGCCGGCCCCGCTGCTCTAAGAAAGCCGAGTTCTCAGACTGGCGGGTGACAACTTGTCTTAGTGAAACCTGGAATGCGCCACCTCGGTGGGTGGGGAGCGGCCTCTCAGCGCTTCACGGGTTCAGCCAGGTCCCGAGAGCGATGGGAAGACTCTGTCTCTTACTCCCCATTGGTCAGTTGGACTTTGCGGGCTGTACCTTTAGAAACTCCCTCCTGTGATTGGACAAGTTCGGCCTCGGCTCTGCCTCCAACCCCGGGCTGTGATGGTAGAGAGCAAGCTGATCGCAGGCTCTGACGTGCGCCCTCCCGGAGCTGGAGGGTACTGGGACGGGCCTCTTCCCCACGCGGCTCTTCCCACCCAACTTGGTCTCCTTCCACTCCAGCACACTTCATTTTGTCCCCATCTCTGAGCACTGGGGGCGTCCCCTCTCCTCAGATCAGGGTTTTTAATGGCGGCTGCTGTTGGCCAGCAAACTACAGGGTGGGCGATTTAAGCCTATCCGCGGTTCTGCAAGAGAAAGATGCGACTGACTGCACCTTAAAGAATTACAGTCTCAGAAATCCTGTAAGGGTCGCTAGGAGTCAGAATCGACCAGATGGCAGCAGGATTTGCCACAGGTTACACTCCCTTGCCTTAGATTTGGGCACTTGATGGGACTCTTGCACTTTCAAACCTGGGTACTCCAGGGGTGCTGCCTCCCCTGAGCTGCAGCGCCCACTCACCTATCCTTAGTCAGAGACGCGTCTGCCCCGCTCGGGACCAACCCGGGGTCACTCTGATCAGAGAACTGGACCCTCACATTTTCCCTGGACTCCCTGGTCCCAAAGTCCTGCCTTATGGGTCACTGAGCCAGCCCTGTGGGAGGTCAGGACCCTACATCAGAGATCAAAGTCATGGTCTCTATAGACAGTACACCAACCCCAGTCCCAGTCACCGCCAATAAGTGGAAGACAGGAGGAATGTCACAGGGGAACTTTATTGAGAGGAAACATGACGCACTTGCTCTCTCTCCCATTCGTCGTGGTCTTACTCTCACACACACGCTCACACACACACACACACACACACACACACACTCATCCCGGCCTCTGCCACAGTCCAGCTCTCAGCCACAAGGGTGGGACAGCCCTCAATTCCTATGATCCCAAGGCAGCAGGGGCAGAGGGAGGCAGGAGGAGGGGATAGGAAGAGGCCCAGATCCGATTGGGTGGGGAAGAAGGGGGTGCAGAGTGACCAGCAGTCAGAGCACTTGACAATGCATGAAGAGTGGGGTGCTCTGACTTCTGGTGGGCTCAGCTCTGTTTGCCCCTCTCCATGGAGCCTTCCTGAGCTGGGGACAAAGCATTCAGGGAGAAGGGGGCAGGCTTCCCACCCCACACTAGTCCTCTCTGCTGGGGGGGTGGGGGGCTGAAGTGGGCAGGGCAGGGCAGGTAACAGGAGTGGCTCAGCTCTGGGGCTCCTCAGGAGCCTCACCCCCTTCTTCCCCGGCGTTGTCGGCCGTCCACAGCGTCAGATTGTCTCGCAGCAGCTGCATGATGAGGGTGCTGTCTTTGTAGGAGTCCTCGCTGAGAGTGTGCAGGTCAGCCATGGCCTCGTCGAAGGTGGTCTTAGCCAGCGAGATGGCCTCCTCAGGGCTGTTGGCAATCTCATAGTGGAAGACAGAAAAGTTCAGTGCCAGGCCCAGGCGGATAGGGTTGGTGGGTGGCATCTCCTTCTTGCTGATGTCCATGGCCTCTTGGTAGGCTGCCCGGGCGGAGTCGATAGTGCGCTTCTTGTCATCACCTGTGGCCACCTCGGCCAGGTAGCGGTAGTAGTCACCCTTCATCTTCAGGTAGAAGACGCGGCTCTCAGCATCACCAGCCTCCTTGATGAGGTGGGTGTCCAGCAGGCCGAGCACAGCATCGCACACACCCCGGAGTTCTGTCTCCACTTTCTCCCGGTACTCTCGTACCTCGGGACCCTTTTCTTCTGAGCTCTCCTCGTTGCTTTTCTGCTCAATACTGGACAGGACTCGCCAGGCAGCCCTCTGGCCACCCACTACATTCTTGTAGGCCACTGAGAGCAGGTTGCGTTCTTCACAGGATAGCTCCTCACCCTTTTCCACGGTGCCCTTCATGAAGGCTGCCATGTCCTCATAGCGTTCGGCCTGCTCGGCCAGCTTGGCCTTCTGGATCAGGCTGGCTCTCTCCATGGCTCTGGGGACAGACAGATGGGCGACGAGCTAACTGGCTTCCTCTGGACCAATGCTGGACTGGGCTCTGTGGCTCTCCTGCTCTCTGCCTGCCTTTTGGCTGGGTGGCCTGACCCAGAGGAGAGTGGGGAGGGGCAGGGGGCGGGACTGGGATCCGGGACCTGCCTCCCTCTTCTCTTCTCCCCACACCCTTTCCGGCTCGTCCTTAAAGGTAAAAGAGGGTGAGTCATCAAGACAGTCAGCCACAGAAATGTGGGCGTGGGCCTCACCTGTACAGGCACCTTTTGGGGCTACTGGCTGCCCCCTCTGTTCAGGGTTGCCATTACATGCCCATGTTAGGTAGCTGACCCGATTTCTTAAATCAAATCCTCTTTCATAGTGGCCTTCCAGGGGGTAAGGATGGCTGTAGCCACCTGCCTGCTTCAGTCCAGGAAGCACCCATAAGCCGGCTTCAGAAAAATGGGGTCCCTAATTTTGCTAGCTATGTTTCCCTCCTTGGTTCAGGTAAGCCACGATGTGGTGGGGCTGCGTAGATTGCCAAGCATCCTCATATCCATAATCTAACTGAATCCCCACCACACTTCTGTGAGGTGGGCAGGGATGTGATACACCCACTTTAGAGATGGAGATCCTGAGTCTAAGGGGGTGAGATTTAGCTCAAGGTCACACAGCTTGTAAATCTCTGAGACACTTCCTCTTGTACCTTCCTTCTCTCCCATTGAGGCCTCTGACCTAGAAGTTCCAGGCTGTACTGAAAATGAGCTCCAGGCTTCTTCCTGAGTCTACCTGAAGACGGTCCCATGTCCTCACTCCTTGTCAAGGTCCTATCCCCCCGGAATTCCCAGAATGCAGAGGTAGCAGCTTTCAGGGTGCCACTTAATGAGGTGTTTAACGAGCGGCCACTGACGCTCCAGCCCAGCCTTTGTAATTAGTCACCCAGTAGGTTGGTCGGACACCTTCCCCATGGCAGCACAATTTTCCCTTTCAAGTCAGTGGCCTGTTGCCACTTGTTTGAGGACTTACCCTCTGGCTCTTTATGCCAGCCGCCCCCCCATAAGCCGCCTGCCATCATGTATCAGGAGGGTGGGGGCCCAGCTCCCTGGCTGTCCCATTTTCCTGCCTGACTCAGCCTGCCCTCTGTCAGAGGCTGGGAAGCAGGCCAGCTGATGCTCAGACTGTTTGGTCCTCCATGGGAGATGCTGGCAACCTGGGAAGAGACAGGCTGAGGAGAAGGTGGTGGTGACACATAGCATTTTGGTTTATGGGGCAGCAATGCTAGCTGAGTGCTGCCTCCCCCAGCTTGCTTCTCAGAGGTTTCTCTCTCTGTGCCATTGCCTATGGCCTTACCTCCGATCCCTGACAGAGATCTCAGATATGGAGACCTCTCCCTTGCTAGCCTTCAGTTCCTGCTCATTTCAGTCAGCCAAGAATTTCACTTAGGGTGTTGGCACTGGACTGAGCCCATGAGTGTGGGCTGCTTATCTGTCTCTCCTCTAGCCAAGCTCAGATGAGACTCGGGATGGGCTCCCTTTGCTGGGATTTAGTCAGCCTAATCCATGAAGCTGGACCACTTCACCCTGACCCTCTTCGTGCCTAACACCCACTTTGCCTTCCTAGAGGGAACCTCAGGCCAGAACTCTGAGGTCCAAAATAAGCTCTGCCTCTGCCGCAAGGAAGAGCAGAAACATGCCTAGGCTGATCCTACAGGGTTTCCAAGGAAGCAGCAAGGATCTTAGTTTAGACATCCCAAAGACTTCATTCAAATCTGAGTTCTGGTTGACAGAAAATGATGGCAAGGAAAATACTCCAACACTAACTTACAGAGGGTAGCTTTTAGTATGATGCTGAGTGATTTTTTTATATATATATCCTTTTGATTTTCCTATGCTTTCTAAATTTTCTAAGATGAACATTTTTGTTTTGTTTTGTTTTTTTATGAGACTCTGAAACTGAACTGCCGAGGCTTCATTCTTATAAGCTGTGGTCAAGTTACTTAACCTTTTGTGAGCCTCAGTTTCTAGAAATATAAAATGGGACTTATGAAGAGCCAATGAGTTAAATAAAGCAGCAGAGTGAATGGTAACTATTATTGACAAAAACTTTATTGTAAACAGACATACCAAAGCACAAACATAAAGCTAGGTTCTATGAAATGAATCTGTTAATGGACCAGACCCTGTCCAAAAGGGGGTATCCACAGGGAAGAGAAGGGTTTGCCCACAGACGCCCTTCTCAAGATGGGCAAGTGATCAGATGTACTCAGCCCTGCCTCCGCCCTCTCCATCTAGGACATTCCTCAAGTGCCTTCTTTGGTACCAGTCAACCAGCTTAGGCATTCCCAATTCCTGCGGGAAAACTGGAGCTCCCACTACACCAGGAAGCTGGAAGAGCCTGGCAGGCCTAGGAATTTTGGAGCTGTTTGTTTCCAGGAAGGGAGCATTCTTTCCCCACCACTTAAGCCAGGGGACCTGGCCGTGGCTCATACCACAAGCCCCATGCCCTTAGCAAAGCCCTGAACAGGAGAAAGGATGTGCCTTGACTCCAGTTCCTCCTCTGTTGAAGCTGAGAGGGATCTGGGATACCTCCTGCCTGCTCTGGCCTGGGGATCCTGACTCAGTTCCTGTCTCAGATACCGCCCTTTGCCTCCAGGCCTCCATTTCCCAAGTCTAGGATCCCAGGTGGGCAGGAGACAGCAGGCCCTGGCAGAGTGTGAAGCTCCACAGTCAGCCACCTGAGTCAGCAGGACAGGAGCAGCTGCCCAAAGAGGCTCTCCTCATCTTGCCTTCCACTTCCCCACCCCTCTACATAACATCCATGCCACTACAGCATCAAGGTGTCTCGGTCCACAACCAATCTTCTTAGCTGGTAATAACAGACATTGAAGGGTTGTGACACAGAGGGCAGCAAGCAGTTGCTGTCTAACTCCACTGAGAACAGAGGCAGGTCTCTGGTTACAGCAGCAAGAGGGATTCTGGTTAGATTCCAGAAAGAACTTTCTAGGATGTTTTTGTCATGGAATGATCAAATTAAGTAGGTGACCACAGAAGGCTATGTATGGAACCTTCTTTCCCTGGTTAGTTGTGAGCCAGAGGTGAGCTATCCAGGCAAGAGCTACAGTAGTTTCCTTTGGGAGGGAATAGGAGATACATAGTAAGTGATCTCAGCTGTGCTAAGTCTTTTTCTCCTTAAGGTACTGTGGCTTAGAGTAACCTACCTTCTCCTGGTGTGGCCCTATAGGGTAAGCACTGGACTGCTAACCACAAAGTGGGCAGTTCAAACTCACCCAACTACTCCTTGGAAATCTTATAAAGGCTTGCTGTAAGTCAGAACCAACTCAAACATACTTAACACCAACCATCTGTTAGACCAATCCAATCTAGAAGACTGGAATTTGTGGAAAGAGAACGAAATGAGGTCAGGGTGTGGGATTGCATGCTAGCTCTGAGCAAGTCCTTTCCTGCCTCTGGGCCTCAGTTATCCCATCAGTGTAATGAGGAGGCTGGCCCAGATGACCCTTCAGCCCCCTGCTGGCTCTGACTTCTCTCATTTAAGGTTTCTTCCTCTGAGATACCCATCCTCCTGGAGTAGCCTTCTTAATTCCTCAGGAAGTGCAGGTCAGGGAGCAGTTTCTGATCCTAGACTGGCTACTTTACCAGTAGGGAAGTCCTGTAGCTTACTTCACTCTCAGTTCCATCATCTTTAAAAGGGCTGACATCACCTTCCTTCCAGGTTACGGTGAGAAAACGGGCCTGACACTTGGCAAGTTCTTGATAAGTGGTAGTTGTAATTATTTTTTAGCTCTTAGCGCACTGTGTGTATCTCAGTGTGGGGAAAGAGAGGTTCCATGAGATTGTTCTCCTGGGCTGGGCTCAGTTCACGGTGTGACAGTTACAATCCGAGTTAAACCTTCTGTTTCAACCTGGACTGGGCCCTTTCAGAGTTTGGGGGTCAGTCACAACTTGGGGGTAGAACTAAGACCAGGAGTTCTGGATGGGCAGAGCAAAGGCCACCCTTCCCTTGTCCCCCTGGTCTCGTTGTCCATCTCTTTGTCCTCTGTAGAGCAGCACTGACCAGCTGGAACAAAGGGGGAAGTGAGGGTAAGCCAAATATTTTTTTGCATACCCACCACATGCCCCACTCCAGACCCAAAGTAAAGGGGGCACCAAACACCATGGCAAGAAGAGGGGAATCTTTATTTTGATTAAAAAAGGTGTACAGGACAGCAAGCAAGCAACCCCAGCTCTGGGCTCAGTGGTCTCCCCGAGGCCAGCCTATCTCCTCCAGTTCCTCCAAGGGAAGCGCACAGGTGATGCACTGCAGGCCCAATCCCTCAGTGCCTTAAGCCTCCTACCTACTCCACGTGGGGGTGTGGAGGGGCCGTGGGAACAATGGCAAGCCAGTTGTGCTTAGAACAGTCACCAAACTTGTTCAGCAGCGTCATCAACACCCCAGAGGGCTCCTAGAGAAACCTGCTCTGCTTGACTACACTTAGGCCTCCTGTTCTTTACTCTTTTTGGTGTGTGTTTGGGGCGGGGGAGGGGGGCAGTGGTGGGCAAGCTGTAAAACAAGATTCCTAAAGAGTTTTGACACCTTTCAAATCTGGGGCAGGGGGAGGCAAGAGGGGTGGGGAGGGAGAGTCCACAGAGCTTGGCCTTGTGCTGACAGTGCACTATGCTTTCTACACTCTGGCCTTGTAGAGTGGGGGTGGGGGCAAAGAGGCCAGCCCCTGCCCCCTAGGGGAGGGGCCCTAGAAAGCACACGCATGGGCCAGGCTAGGGAACAGACCCTGTAGGCACAGATGGTGGCAGACAGGCCACAGGTTAGGCAGGTGGAGGTGCAGGGTGCCTGGATCCCCCCAGGCCGCTCCTGGAGAGGCAGAGAGCAGTGGTCCTCAGAAGGTCCTTAAGCACCCGCACACACTGGAGATCCCCGGCAGGACAGCAAATGAGGAGAAGAGAGAGGGTTAGCGGGACTGAGAAGATAGAGGTGGCCTGTGGGGGCCCTAGTGGCCAGCCAGGACAGGTACTGCCCAAGTACCTGCCTTAATGCCAGAAAAGAGCCAGGGCTGAGGCAGCAGGCAATGAAGCAGGCGAGAAATGGGCAGGTCTGAGAAAGCTCAGCAGGGAAGAAAGCCAGGAAGCTAGAGTGTAGAGGGACCAGGATGCCACCAGAACAGGTCTAAGCACCTCAGAACAGGTACCCCCACCTCACCCTTCACCTCCTGCTCCAGTTGGAGAGTGGCCCTGTGCAAAGCTACTTCCTCAGTCCAGAATGGGCTGCACTCTTAGCCTTGCCCCTTCACCCGATCCTTCTGCTTAACGGGCAGTTGTGAGGTTCTACCACCAGTAGCACACACACCACACCACACACCAAACAGATGAGTGGGCTCCACGGGGCTTGGTGAGGCATGCGGTGAGGAGATGGTGGGTGAGGGGGATGGGTAGTGCTGGCCAACAGGGGAGATACAGTCTTACCAGCTAACCCTCTGCAAAGAGGCCTGTTAGCGCCCCTCAGGCTGTGCAGGAGATGGCAAAATCCTGACAGGTGTCCTCCTGGAGAAGATACCAGAGAGGTGGGCCAGTGTTATGAGGTGTCTGGATGGGCCCTGCTGCCCAGATGGTGGGGCACAGTTATGGGGCTCTGGCTTTCAAACTGGAATCTATGATCTCATTTTTTTTGTTTTTTAACCTGGCAGTAGCTGGCAATCAGGGAAGAAGACCTTGGGGGGTCTCTAAGCCCCCAAGGCAGGGAAAGGTGGAAGGGATGAACAGGGGACAAACAGCAGGAGCTCATCTCATATGCCATGGGGACTCCCCCACTGTAGCCCTCTCTGCTCTGACCCCAGTAAAGACAGCTCAGTCAACTAGAACTTTAGCCAGATCGTGAGGTTGCTTGCTCCTCTTTGTCTCCCTAGGAAAGACCCAAGTTTGGCTGAAAGAACAGAGAGTTGCTAGCTAGGGCAAAGGAAAAGCAAACAAAAACCAAACCAAAGCAAATCAACTCTTAAAAACAAAAGTTTTATTACAGGCAAGAAACAATACTGGCTTAAATAAAAGGCAGGTGGGGGCCCTTCCTCAACTCCCAGAACCACTCAAGTGATTACCCAGGGCCCTGAGACTGGGGTGAAGCAGCTTCTTCTCAGAGAGAGCTCTCTGTGGTAGCCACTTCCCAGCTCCGTCTGAGACCCAGTAGCCTCTGGAGTGAGGAAGGGCAAGATCTGGGGGCTTTCTATGTTACTTTCCACAGCTTTCACCCAATTGAAAGACAAAGGACGGGGACACAGGGCCAAGTTTCTATCTATTTTGATAAGAAACTACAGCAGCCAGCCAAGAAGGGACATCCTATGAATTCTGAGCCAAGATTTAGGGCTACTTTCACTGGCCTCCGCCACCTGGCTCCTTCCCTTCCTTTTCTCTAGAGACCCCTGGTCATCAGAGACCCAGCCTGGCACTGGGTTTCATCCTCAGAGCTTTGGGGGGGGGGTGTGACTTGTAGGACAGCAGCCGCTCCCCAAGCTGCCATCACCCCACCCACCACGCCCTGCCTCAGCCTGTCTGGGCAGGTCCCAGCTGGAAGCCTAACCTAGGGACTGGGGGTGGGGAGGGGGTGGGGAGTGTGTGTGGCAGAGTTGCCACTGCTGGTTGTCTGAAGTCCAATAGGAGGCTGGGAGCTGAGCCCAAGGGCAGCCTAGAAGCCTCTAGTGACCAGTGCACATGCTTCCAACCCCCTGCTGCTACCTGATACCCAAGGGACCCACAAAACTAGGGGCATCCCAGGGGATGTGGGGAAGTGGGAGCCAGGCACATTTGTGCCAGGGCACACGCAAACAGATGCACACACATTCACTCACTCATAGCCAGAAGATCTTGTAATAAACTTACTAAATAAACTAACCTGCCTTCTATAACCCTACAACCCTTAACCTGCTACTACAAAAACAGTAATGTGGCTGACTTTTTTGTTTTCTTCTTTCCGTTTTAAAAATGCTACATAGAAAAGAGGTCTATAAAATTGTGCAAAATATCCAGCATTAATAAACCCGTTTCAAGTATTGCCAGCATGATTATAACCCACCTGTCCCTGACTGGACTTGGGAGGGTGTTGGGGTAGGCTAGGCTAGGATCCCTTGAAGAGCCCTCCATAGAAAGGGGAAGGGCAAGGCCCCCTTCCATGAGTTCTGCCCAGGAATTAATTATAAAGGACTTGAGGCTTTGGGTGCCTGGTTGGCAGACTGCCAATCTTCCCCTCTCAGCTCTGCCTTCTCTACCGAACACCCCAGCTCAATCTTACTAGCCAACACATTACAAATAATATATACATCACAAACAGAATGAAGGAGCCCACAAAGCAAAGCAGCTGCAAGGCTTAGAGGCTTCCTCTCCCACAGCCCAGCCCAATGTCTAGAGCTGACTGCTCATAGCCCCTAATATCACTGTGAGGACCTAGCTTAGCAAGGCCCCAGGATCTCCCTCAACTGGGCAGTCTCATGCTCAGTTCACACCCTCACTCACACGGGCTCGGCTCATCCCAGCACAGGCAAAGACTAAGTGCATTCCCCCTACCTCTCCTGTCATTCCTACTACTGATCAGCTGAGGAGATCTAGGGCCCAAGGCCATGGGGAACTGGGTTTGGAGAGCAGAGGTACAGCCATGTGACAGTTTGGGGAAAGCCACGCAGGAGTGGGAAATAAATACGAAAAGACTTGAGTCGTTGGCGGCTCTGCTTCCCTCAGATGTAATGGGGAGGGTCCCAGCAGGTGTACAGGGCAGCAGGTGAGTGCAGAAGGGCAGACAGGCCAGCAGGTGGCAAGTACTGAGCCCTAGTCAAGGATGGCCTCCTACCATGCTGGCATCAGGCTTGGCAGGCTTGGCTCCGCAGGCTGGCTCGTCACTTCTGATGGGTGAGGGCAGCACGGGGTCAGACTGCACAAATCCCCTCCGGTCAATCAGGCTTACAGACAAAGCAAGGGACACGTCAGGGCTTTGCCCAATGACACTGTCATACTCTCAGAGCAGCCCCGGGGGAGGGCAGGATCCATCTCACACCCAAGGGAAGCCCAAGCCCCAGAAAGGCTAAGTAAAGGAGAGCTACTCTCAACCTGGGGGCTCAAACTCTGCCTTCTGGAAGGCCTCTCTTTATCCTTTGGTTCCTCAACTTCTGGCTACAATTAATTCAGAGTGGCCCAACTCTCTAAAACAAGGATGAAAGGGCATTTGGGGATAGCGAGATTCCCACTGTGTTCCTCCCATAGGCAGGATGGGTGGCAGTGGGCTTCGGGGGTAGGTATGGGGGATTTTTCTGTCCAGCAGTGTGGTAGACCTCTGGTCTGGCGCTCTGGTGCCCCCTGGTGTCAGGATGGAAAGGCGCTTCTCAACAGGGCTAAACCATCAAGGAAGGATCCCAGCCAGGATGAAGGGTGGAGGCCCCACCCATATGGGCACAGAAAGGCAGTGTTGCTCAAGCCTGGCCAAAACTTTAATTGTGGTTATACATGGCAGAAAGGATTCCATGTCCTATTTAAATCACCTCTTTTTTACATTTTGTATTTAACTTTTTCTATAATGAGCACATGTGGTTAAAAAGTACAAATCTTTACAAAATTCTGACAAATGCCCAGAGGGTGTCTATGTTATGGGGAGAGTTATGTGGCCTCGTGGAGTCTTCCCCCACTAGCCACGCCAGCCTTACCTGGGAGGTAGGGGCCCGCAGAGCACAGCACAGCAGTTGGCGATAACACTTTTATGGCTGTAGGGGTTGACTGATGCCTCTCCACCCCTCTTGCTGGACCACGAGCCTTTGATCTGCATGCAAAAGGAGGACTGATTCAGGTACCTCCCCCCTTCACTTCACTTTTCTAGGAGAAAGGCCTAGAGGTTGGGGAAAACTGTTCAGACTATGAGAGGGTCATACCTTAAACCCAGGTCACTCTGGGAGGATGTGGGGGACCCAGCAGAGATTAGGATGCCCCCAACTAGGACAGAAGGCAGAGCAGAGCTAAAGAGAAGCCTCTAGAGAAACTTTTTTGGGTGAATCCTCCCTTCCCCTGGCCAGCCACCTAAGAGGGAGGAGAGCTGACCTGGCTGGGGACCCTGGCAATGCCACTTGTTCAAGTCTGACCTTGAACAGATCATCACTTTGAGGCTTAATCTTCATGTGAAAAGCAGGGACAATAATACCAGCTCTCTGAGTGTTAAGTGAGGTCCTACCCATCCTGAGTCCTGTACAGTCAGCTACCATAGGCACTGAGGAGTTCTCCAGTGACAAGTACCAGTCTGACTCGAACTCAGTGCTCTAAACTTCTGTGGTCATAACACCGTTGTATGTAGCCCTTAATAATATCCTATAGAATCAGCATCCAGGAAACCACTTTGATAGATGCTGACTGATGTCATTTCTGTTCTGTACCAATCATCCAGCACACGACACGCTGTCATGTGTGTTAAGTTTTCCAGAATGAGAGTCGCATCTTCTACTGGATGTTGGCTCTCTGATCTGCACTGGACAGTGGCCCCTGGAAGAGATGCTCTCATTTGTTTTTTCTTGTTAGAGAAGATGGCCAGTGATCAGGTGTGGCCCAGGGCTGAACACAGTGGATGCTCAAATAATGCTTGACCTTTGGGCATGTCATTCATATATCAAATGAGGAAAAAGCACCCCTGTTCCTTCTGCCCCAGGGCTAGCAAAATTACCCAAGAGTTGATGGGAACTGAAAGAACTCTGTAAATGGTAATGTGCTGGCCAAACATAATGACTATTCTGGCATGCGTGCTGCCTCTTGTGGTGTTGTGGAGAACAGCAGTGTGGGGCCTTAGGCATGTGGGAGCCCTAGAAGTATGAGCCTGGAAGGAGACATCTGGTTGCCTCATGTCTCGCCCCATGCTGGTTGTACTGTGGTGGCTGGCAGCAGGCTCCCGCAACCCTGCCTACTTCAGGGGATCCTGCCCACGAGCAAAGAGTCCACTCCAGTCTTACTCACATCTTCATTCGTTGTCAGGTTGGAAGCTACGAGGTAAGTGTGAAACCCTGAGAGGCCCAGGATGGACCAGATGGAGAAGAAGCAGATCACCAACTCCAGGACAGTGAGAAGGCAGTCAAGGACTCATGTGAGGATCAGAGCAGGGGGTATAGGGCAGGGGGCCTCCTCAGGCACTAAGCCTCCTTAGGAGCGATTTCATTAGAAAGGAAACACGCTTTATAATCCAGTCCTTCCTGAGGCTCAGTCAATAATTCTCAGCAGGATTGCCCCCTGAATCATAGGAGGGCATCGGAGCCACCTTCAAAAGGAAGATGAGACCAAGATACTGTGTGGTAGAAGGAAATGAGACATAATGAATCTTGGCCATAATATGGTCTAGGGAGCTGGGTAATGTTTTAAGGCACATGCTCTCTTCCAAGCTCCCTGAAGACAGGAACTGAGACTCGTGGGAGATCTTGGTTATATCAGCCCCACAAACCACACTGCGATCAGTCTAGAGTAGTGTGAACCTAAGTAGCTGGTGTGCTGGACTCTAGAGGACAAATGTCTTCTACACTACCCCCTTCCGTTTACAGATAAGGTGCAGTGATGGGACCTTGTGTTACCACCACACGGCCCACTAGCCAACAAAGGATATCTCGCTGGTGTCTCCTTTAGAGTAGAGAGGAAGTTGCTTCCCTGAGAACCTGGGGAGGAAGAAACAGAAAAGGATACAGCTCAGAGGGGTGGCTGACTATAGCCCCTTGTCCTGGCTGAGCTGGTTGGCCTGCTTTTCCTCCCCTCCTCGCCCAGCTTACGCAGCGTCAGGTGGGTGACCACACAGGCAAAGATGAAGGCCGTCAGGAATGAAAGGGAGAGAATAAATGCGTAGAAGAAGCGGTAGTTCCGTCTCCCAACACAGTTGCCCACCCAAGGGCAATGATGGTCAAACCGTTCTGGAAAAGGGTAAGAGAGACTGTTAAGTGTCTGCCTAGCCCAAAGTCCAAACAGGCCTCACTGCATGACTGGGTTTCCCTACCCCATTCATTCCACACTAGCCAATTCTCAGTTTCTTGGACATACCCTGCTTCTAGCCCTTCAAACACTGGCTCACACATGCTTGTCCTGTCTTTCTACTTGGTTCACAGTCACTACTCCTTCCTATCTCAGCTTCAAAGCTGCTTCCTTAAGAAAGTCTCTGAACCTAGTGCTAGGGAGCATGGAGGAAGGCAGAATCTCCAGTGGGTACTATTCAATCTGTCTGGGTGGAGCTGATGAAAGGAAATACAGATGGGTAACTCGTGATACTGTAGTGAATAATGCTTATCAGGACTGATTATAAGGGTTGGAAATGCAAAGGCAGATGTTTTGTAACAAGGAAGGGAGTGATTAATTCTCCAGTCTAGGAGCAGAGGTC